TGTAACTAGAAAAACAGAGGAAGTTATGGAAAGCAGACATAGAGTAAGGCAAATGTCCAATGGGGCAAATCCCCAATAGAGCTGTTCTGCCTAGGCTGTTTGCTAAAGAGGCAAGGAGGCCACATCTTCTGACTTCCTCTAACCACACAAGAGGAACACAGAATCACCATCAGTAGCCCAAGGACTATTCCTGCAAGGCCAGACATGCTGATTCCCTCCAGCCCTTTCACCAACCCTGACACCAACCATTCCTCCCACAGCACTCACCACCTTTCTGCTGGGTTCGATAGTTCACTGCAGTGGCCACACAGAACTCACAGATTATGGAGTTTATTAGGGAAGCACCAGGCTATAATTCAAGTTCAGGAAAAACACTCAGTCTTTCTCAGCCCGCCATCTCTCAGCCAACAGTCTCTCACAGTCTCTCTTCCAGCAGTGCATGTCCCTCAGTGTCTCTCTCAGCAATGTGTGTCTCCTGCATCTCTTTCCCAGCAGCACGTGTCTCTCAGGAGGGCGTTTCTCTCAGGAGCGCATTTCTCTCGCCAGCAAGTCCTTCTCAGCCAGCAGTCAGAGAGAGACTTCTGACTCTAGGAGGCCTCCTTTTGAGCCTGGCAGAGTGGCCAAACTAACCAATCATAACATCAGAATTCTAAGCACCTGAGAGAAAGCAAACTTCCCAGAACATTGCTTTGTGCCACTACGCAACAGAAATACCCCAGGTGGATAACTTTATAATCAGGAGCTCTTCATTTGCTCACAGCAAATTCCACCACGGAGTTTACAAAGACTTATGGCTAGAAAAACCATACCACATAATTTATTATACCACACTGTTTTTCCTCCAAATGATTAGATTTTTCCTCCCATTTTATTTTCTTATTCTACCTGAAATTTCATCATTCACAGATTCAATTGTCCTAACAATAAGCCTCATACAAAAATGCTAATAGACCAGAGAAAGCAGTTTCCCCTCTAAGTCCATTTAGTAAGATTATTTTTCCTCCTAATGATAGAACATCAGGTGGATTTACAGAATCAAAGTTGTACTGATGAATATGCGAAGTAGGTAACTTTGAAGTACGAAACACACTAGGAAGCAAAATACCCAAATGTCTTAAGAACATTAAGTACTCAAGGAGAGTGAGGGCAATTAAAAGAAAAGAGAAATGAAAATATGAGAAACTGGACTAAATGAGACTAAATAAGATCCCACCCAACTCTAAGATTTGTAAAATGCCAAAGACAAGCATTTCCTTCTCTTTTACTCTCCTATCTTAAAAGATTCTGTCCTCCCAAGACTCAGATCTCAGGCTAGTTTAGCTAACATGTTAAAAATTCACTGTCTTTACTTTCACCAATAGAAACTATTTATAATTTGACTTTGGCTGGATTTTTTTGGTAGGGCACAAGTAATCTCATTGTTGCAGTGTGCCTTCAAGTTGACTGTGACTCACAGTAACCCTATAGAACAGAGTATAACTATCCATAATGTTTCATAGGCTGTAATCTTTTACAAGGAGCTCTGGTGGCGTAGTGCCTAAGGCATTTGACTGCTAACCAGAAAGCTGGAGGTTCAAATCCACCAGCCACTCCTTGGAAGGGAGGCTGGGCAATCTACTTCCATAGAGGTACCGCCTCAGAAACCCAAGGAGGGGTCACTATGAGTCGGGACTGACTCAACCGCAGTGAGTTCATTTTTTGGTTTTTTTTTAATCTTTTACAGGAGCAGATCACCAGGTCTTTTTCCCCACAGAGTTGCTGATAGGTTCGAACAGCTAACCTACTGGTTAGCAGCCAAGTGCTTAACATTTGTGCCACCAGGGTTCCTTAAATCTCTGTAGTAAATGTTGTCATTGCTGTTGTTATTGCCATCAACTCAGCTCCAACTCACAGTGATCCTACGTACAAAAGAACAAAAACACTGTCTGGTCCTACACCATCCTCACAATCCTTGCTGTGCTTGAGCCCTTCATTGCAGCTACTACGTCAATCCATCTCACTATGGGTCTTCCCCTATTTCACTGACCCTCTACTTTAACAACCCATCAGCCACTCCTCGGAAGGAAGATGGGGCAATCTACTTCTGTAGGGATACTGCCTCGGAAACCCAAGGAGGGGTCGCTATGAGACAGGTCTTACTCAACGGCAGGTAGCAACAAGCAAAGCTACTTTAACAAGAACGATATCCTTCTGCAGGAAATGGTCCCATCTGACATGACCAAAGCAGATACGACAAAGTCTAGCCATTCTCCCTTCCAGGATTATTTGGCTGCACTTCTTCCAGGACAGACTTGTTTGTTCTTCTGACGGTATTTTTCAGTATTCTTCACTAACACCACAATTCAAAGGCCATCAACTCTCTTTCAGTCCTCTCACATGCGTTACGAGGGGACTGAAAATACCAGTTTGGGTCAGGCGCATCTTACGCTTCAAAGCAGCATCTTTGCTCCTTAATGCTTTAAAGAAGTCTTTTGCAGCAGATTTGCCCAGTTCAATACTACATCTGATTTCTTGACTGCTGCCTTAGTAAACAGTAAATATTAACTATGCATGCTAATCAGCAAGCATTAATCTACATAATGAACTGTTAAAGAAAAGTAAATTACATTATTACAAGACTCATTAGACTACTGAGAGTAACTACAATCCAACTTTAACTTGAAACACATTTTTAATTAGATACAGCTAAAGCAATACTTAGAAGGAAATGTATAGTCTTAAATATCCGCCAGCCACTCCTCGGAAGGAAGGTTGGGCAATTTATTTCCGTAGTGATACTGCCTTGGAAACCCAAGGAGGGGTCGCTATGAGTCGGGGCCGACGCCACGGCACATAACAACAACAACAAATATTTATATTAAAAAGGAAGATATGCTGAAAATTTATGTGAAAACCATTTATCACAAAATGTTGAAAAAATTTAAGCAAGGAAAAAAATGAAGAGCAGAAATTAGTAAGATGAAAAATAAAGACATAATAGAAAGGAAAAACAGCCAAAAGCTGGTTCTTTGAAAAGACTAATAAAAGTAATACCTCTGGTAAGATGATAAATCACGAACAGAAGAGGGAACACAAAAAATAAGATAAAATAAATAAAAAAGGAGACATAACTACAGCTACTGGAAATATTAAAATGATAACAGGATATTACTGACAAACTTTATACAATTCAATCTGAAAATTTAGATGAATTGGAAAAATTCCTACAATATGATCCTACCAAAAACTGACTCAGTAATTCAAAAATTATTTAAGCAACTTTGCATGTGAAATAAACACACAAAAAGAAATCCCAAACCTAATGTTTGATATGGATTTATGTGTTGTGTGCTTAAACTTACAAAACATTAATAACTAAACTTATAGCTGAGAAAGCTGCAATTTTTCTGTATTCTACTATTTAACAAATCCAAAGCTAACCAGTTAAGAGCTGGGCTCTGGTACCTTCAAAATGAAGACTATTATAACCCAATAACAGCTATTAGTAATGGCTTGAATGAGGAGATAAACATGAAAATAGAAACTAAATGTATAAAAGGGATATTAGAGAAATAAGAATTCTCTGTACTAACAAAAATTCTTTCCAAATTTTTTTAAACTCCCTGAGAAGCTGATGAAAACCATAAATGCTCCTCTCAAAAAACAAGCACAAACTTCTGAATTTCAAAGGGCTCAAGGATTCCCCTGACACTCATGTATCAAATTGCTGGAAATTCCAGATAAGTAGAACTTCAGAACATTAAAGAGTCTGTAAAGGTATATTGTTGTTATTATGTGCCATGAGTCCAAGCCGACTCATTGGGTTCCCGAGGCGGTATTACTACGGAAGTAGATTGCCCAACCTTCCTTCCCAGGAGTGGCTTGTGGATTTGAACCGCCAGTCTTGTGGTTAGTAGTCAAGTGCCTTAGGCACTACGCTACCAGAGCTCCTATGTTGTTATGTGCCGTTGAGTGGGCCCTGACTCATAGCGACCCCTCCTTGGGTTTCCGAGGCAGTATCACTACAGAAGTAGGATTGCCCAACCTTCCTTCCGAAGAGCTCCTATTTGTTGTTGTTGTTGTGTGCCGTGGAGTCAAACCCCACTCATAGCGACCCCTCCTTGGGTTTCCGAGGCAGTATCACTACGGAAGTAGGATTGCCCAACCTTCCTTGCCCAACCTTCCTTCTGAGGAGTGGCTGGTGGGTTTGAACCGCCAGCCCTCTGGTTAGCAGGCAAGTGTCTTAGCCACTATGCTACCAGAGCTCCCAAGAGCTCCTATAGCAAAATAAAAATTTTAATGTCATCTCTATGACATCAAAATGAAATGCAAATACTGAATAAAAAAAAAAAAAAAACTACTACTACTAACAATCATGAAGTGAGGTACCTGGAGGTAAATGTTTAAACTGAAGAGCTTAATTTAAATTATATGAACCAAATCAAAAGAATAACACTGGTCTCTAAAGCAGCAGATCTTCAGCATCTACCTCAAATGGCACCTCCTTCTTTAAACTTCCATTTTCTTTCGCTCCCAGACGCAAAGCAGTCTCTCCCTCTTCTACGGCACTAATATTCGTAACATACGTTGCAGACATTTGGGTATGTTCATTACATCTTTACAGGAACTGAAAAGCTATCCTGAGGAAGTTAATACCCTGTTCATTTCAGTATTCCCTGCAGTGCTCAGAATGGATAAATCATGCAGCTCAAATAATCGGATAAGCAAAGGGAACAGAGATCTTGGGAACTCACTGCTTTTAGGAATTTACAATTGATGTTACTATGTTGCCCGAGAAAAACGTAGCTAATCAAGGTATGTTAATTATGGAAGTAAAAACAGAAGCGTTTGGAAACAAGCAGAGAAAAATGAGACATTCGGAATTTGGGTAAATAAAAACTGAATCTCCAACTTGGGAGTATTTTAATAACAATAATGAAACAAACGTTCTTTATCTAATTGCATTTCATCTTTTCTGGGCCAACCGATTTGTTTGCTTAAAACATAAAAAGTAATTTTACTTGTGAAAATTTTCATCAGTTTCCTCCAGGTGTAACAGGATCTCCTCGGCGCACTCCAAAGAAGGAGCACCCGTGATTTTCTCCTTCACGCTCTGAAATAATTGCTTCAGCATCGCCTGCAGCATCGCCTCGTCGTTGCGGGAGAAATGGGCCATCTTCACTGAGAATCAAACGCTCACGGCCATTACTCTGAATCCAAGCAAAAGCCTAATACTGCGCACGCGCGCTCCCACGCAGCCCCGGCTTGCGTGTAGCGTCGTTACCTGGGAGACCGCGGCGCGCACTTGGGAGCTTTCCCTTGGCTGCCGCAAAACGAGTCAACTTACACTGGGGAAACAGGGGTCTACAAGGCTCAAACTACACGACGTAGTCAACCTCTAGTACCAGAGAACTCCGGCTGCTAACAGAAAGAATTAAAAAAAGGCCCAGGAAGGCTCTGATAGAAGGGCCCAGTAGTAGAACGTTAGCGCTACGTGTGACGTCAGCCTGTGGACTTGACTTCCTTAGGTAGGAGGGAGTGTCTCTGATGGCTTCCGGGATTCCTAGAGGAAAGTTGCAAGTGGACTCTGCAGGCTGACTTGTATGTAGGTGAGTCGGGAAAGAGTACGAAGAGAAAGGACTCGGTAAAAGAAACAAAATAAAAATGAAATTGAAAATAGCCTGAAAAGTTTCGATTAAAGAGTGATTAGAAATGAAATGTTGCAATGTTGTTTTCCTCTTTGAATCAGTGAAGCCACCATCTAATGAGTACCCGCCTCTTACTAGCACCGTGCTAGGAGCTATGAAAAAAGAAGACTTACTTATAATATAACAGACAAAAAAGAAATTGCCGATTATATTAATACCATTCTAGAAAAATGGGGCAGGTAGGGGCTGTGTAAACTCAGAACACCTGCCAACAGAGGTAGAGAGTAAAGAAACAGAAAGAAGGAACACAACTGAACAAGCAAAGATAGAAGTCTGGAAGAGTTTGGCATATACAGGTATTATAGCAGGATTACAAAACAGAGGTGAGAAGGCTAGGAAGTAAACTGGCCACGTTAAAAGGGCCATGTTTGCCATTTGAAGAGATCAAAGATTTATCCACAAGTAGTAGGACACATTGCATTCCAGAGACGCCATGACAGTGTGTCTGCACACTATCTGAAGGGAGCTGCAGTGGATAATCACGGTCCCTCATGCAGTTTCTAGATCTAAATAAATTTCCAGACCTAAGGCCCATTGATTGAAGGGTAGGCTGCATCCCTCTGAGGACCCTTCAACACAACACACATGGATAATAAATTAATAAATATTCCTCATATCTCCCCCAAAGCAACCAGTGGGACTACATTATGTCCTTGACACTTTTGCCTTCATAGGTATCTCTCTGTGTGCGTGTGTGTGTGTGTGTGTGTGTGTGTGTGTATATATATATATATATATATATATATATATATATGCCTAAGGCACTTGCCTGCTAACCAGAAGGCTAGCAATTAAAACCCACCAGCCAGTCCTTGGAAGGAAGATGGGGCAATCTACTTCCATAGTGATACTGCCTTGGAAACCCAAGGAGGGGTCTCTGAGTGGGTCCGACTTGATGGCACATAACAACACCACATAAAATATATATGTATGTATTATATATATATATATGTATGTATTATATATATATATATGTATGTATCATTGATGGTACAAACAGTTAAGCACTCATCCGCTAATCAAAAGTTTCCCAGTTTGAACCCACCCAGACGCTCTGTGGGAGAAAGACCTGGGGCTTTGCTTCCAAAAGATTACAGCCAAGGATACCAATGCAGTTCTACTCTGTTACATGGAGTTGCTATGAGTCAAAAAATGACTCAATAGCACCTGACAGCAACAAATTTATTCATGTATATTGACACAGTAGCTGCAACGAGGGGCTCAAGTATAACAAAGATTGTGAGGATGGCTCACGACCTGGCAGTGTTTCATTCTCTTTTACATAGGGTCACTATGAGTTGGAGTCAACTCAACGGCACCTAACAGCAGCAACAACATGTAAACACAGATGTATGATTTTATTTTATGACTATATTGATGTAAAAACTAGTATAATGCATGCTACATTCATTATTATATCCTCATTATACTCACTTTTTCTTCTGATCTAAAAAAAAAAAAAAAACTGAAACTTTTTGTACACTCTGAAAAGTACGACGTGCCATAGGTACTGTGCCTAATAAATCAGCCAGCCCTGCAGACTGGTGGCCATTCACTGGGGTAACTAGCAAAAATGTGCCAAACTATTTAGGAACTATTTAGAAAAGAACACTTAAATTTGGTTCCCAAATAGTTTGGCATGTTCTTGCTAGTTATCCCAGTGAATGACCACCAGTTTCCTTCAAGGAGCTCTGGTGGTGTAGTGGGAAGTCATTTGGCTGATAACCAAAATGTAGTTAAAATCCACCAGCCACTGTGAGAGGAAGATAAGGCAGTCTGTTTCCATAAAGATTTACAGCCTTGGAAACCCAATGGGGGTCTCTATGAGTTGGAATCTGCTCAATGGCAGTGAATTTGTGGGTTTTGTTTTGTTTTTGTTTTTTGGTCTCTTCTTTCAATTAGTTATTAAGAACACTTTGAGTTCATCACTATTATTTGTATGTTGAAAAACACCCTAATCTGTTCTCTGCCTATATTGCTCCTAGGAACATCATGATCTATTAGCCATAGCTAAAGATCCCTATGAATCAAGAAACCTAAATGTTATTTTGGTTCTGTTGCTCATTTCAGTAATTACATCCAGATTACTTCCAACAGTTGATGCTGCTTTTTGGGCTTGCCAGTCAGGAATCCTTTAATGCCCATTGCTACTAGGGAGCCTAATTCCCACGACAGAGTGTCCCAAGGTATAATGGATTGAATAGTATCCCCCAAAATATGTATTTACCACATTTGGAACCTCCAAATTTGATCTTATTTGGAAATTGCATCATTGCAGATGTAATTACCTAAGGATCTCAAAATGAAATTATTATGGATTTTGGATGGGCCCTAAATCCAGTGACTGGTATCTTTATAAGAAGAGGAAAGGACACAGAGACAAGAGTAAAAAGAAGGCCACATGAAGACAAACATTTTAACATGATACAGCTACAAGCTAAGGAATGTGAACAATTCTCAGGTGCGACCAGAAGCCACCTTACTGCATTCAGAGAGAGCATGGCTCTACTGGCAGCTTAATTTTGGAGTTCTAAACTCGAGGACTGTGACAGAATAAATTTTTATTGTCTTAACCCACCTAGTTTATGGTAATTTGTTATACAGCCCTGGGAAACTAATACAGAAGGTCACTCCCCACCTATAGAGGACAACCACAACCAAGTTTCACAAAAGTCCCAGTGGACCCTTTTAGTGAATTCCCTATTTTCTGTGGCAGACATGCCCTAAGGTGAGTTCCTCAATGAGCCATGGCTTTGTATGATCGTCTCCCCAAAAACGAGTTCCTGAGTTATCCACGTTTTTCAAGTTTTCTTTCTTTAGATTACAATAAACTATGACTAGCTTCCAATCAATTGTTAGTTGGTTAGAACAAAGCACTGCCAAGTCCTGTGCCATCATCGCAATCTTATATGTTTGATCCCATTGCTATAGCCACTGTGTCAGTCTATCTCACTAAGGGTATTCCTCTTTATCACTGCCCCTCTACTTACCAAGCATGATGTCCATCTCCAGGGACTGGACCCTAGAGAATATCAAAGTCAAGAAAGCAAAAGGAAGCATAAGACAAGTAGGAAAAATTAAAAATGTATAAATAAAAACAATATAACAAGTCCAAAATACTGATAAATTTATATCAGCTTAACCCTCCACGTGAAAGACATAACTGTCAGATTGGATTTTAAAATAACAAACTATATGCTATTAGCCAAAAGTCCAAAAACATAGTGTTAAGGATTTAATGGTGTCTACCAAAAATATGTGTCATAATTCAGTGTCTAAGGCATTTGACTGCTAACCAGAAGGCTGGCTGTTCAAACCCACCTGCCACTCCTCAGAAGGAAGGTTGGGCAATCTACTTCCATACTGATACTGCCTTAAAAACCCAAGGAGGGGTCCTAATGAATCGAATCGACTCAATGGCAGTGAGTTTGGTTTGTTTTAGTTTTTTCATGTCTGTGGTGTAATCCCATTTTGGAAAGGGTTGTATTATGTTCATAAGAAATACTGTAGAGTGTGTTTTGAGTCAATCTCTTTTGAGCATAAAAGACATTAAATAAGCAAGAAAGCAAGCAGAGATGAGGGAAGACATATGCCAAGTCACAGGAATATCATCTAGGAGCAGAAGCTCAGAAGAGAGAAGGACATTTCTTCCAGTGGCTAGAGAGAGAAAAAAACCTCGTGGAGTCCAAGCCTTGAATTTGGACTTCTAGCATGCTAAACTGTGATAAAATAAATTTCTGTTTGTTAAAGCCACCTACCTGTGATATTTTATAGCAGGTTACTAAAACACATGGGAAAAGTTAGAACTAAAAAGGTGGAATAAGATAAAGTAGGTGAATATTATCTAAAAGAAAACTGAGAGCTAAAACATCCATTTCTAGGGCCTGGTCCTTTTCGATAACATGACCAAAACACAAGAGATGAAGTCTAGCCATTCTCACTTACAAGGAGCATTTCCACTGTACTTCATCCAGGATTGATCATTCTCCCGACAATCGATGGTATACCCAGTATTCCACACCAACACCAAAATTCAAATACATCGATTCTCCTTTGGTCTTCCTTATTCATTGTCCAGCTTTCACATGCATATGATGTGATTGAAAATACCATGGGTTGGGTCAGGGACACCTTAGTCTTCAAAATGACATCTTTGCTCTTCAACACTTCCTAGAAGTCTTTTGCAGCAGATTTGCCTAGAGCAATATGTCATTTGATTTGACTGCTGTTTCCATGGGTGTTGATAATGAATCCAAGTAGAATGAAATCATTGACAACTTCAATTTTTTCTCCATTATGATGATGCTTTGGTCCAGTTGTGAGGATTTTTGTTTTCTTTATATTGAGATTTAATCCATACCAAAGGCTATAGTCTCTGACCTTCATCAGGAAGTGCTTTAAGTGTTTTTCATGCAAATCTCAAATTCTGAGTTTGTTTCCAAATGAATGCTACCTGTTATAGTAAGAC